ATTGGACTATACCAATTTATTTCCTATTTAACCTAATGGATACAAAGGGATCATAGTGTGACTCTGCAGAGAAAAGAAAGATCCTTAGAAGCCTGTCTAAGAGATTAGGCAAGGAATGGGAAAGCATCTTAGGCCGCCAGTCCTCGTTCAGAATTTTGAAAAGTCTTGGTGCTCTGGAATGCCTAAAAGGACACATTTTTTTTATTCATGATGACAGCAAAGATGGTCAGTGAGACAGCCAGCAGATACATGGAACCACGTCTGAGTGCTGAGGCAGAAATCCTGAAGATCTGAAGGGGAAGGCAGGGCAGGGTCTCTTTCCTGAACCTGTACTTTCAAATGCTTAGCTTCAAGTCCAAGGTAGTCACCATATTCCCTCTTTGCCACCAGAAAAGAGTGCATCACTCTCTCCCCTTCCCAGCATAAGTAAAACAGACTGTATCTTAAATTCTCATCAGAAAACTTGCTTGACAAAGGAGGTAATAATGAGAGAGTTCAGTGGATGGAGCGTTCATTTTCTCAACTGGGTCTCACAATAGACACTTCTTGTGGGAACTGGTAAGACCAGTCCTGCAGCAGTGGATGTTTCTCAGTTCCTCTGAAATTCTGCCTGCCTTGGAGACAGGCCTGAGATTAAACGAGCTACTGATCACAGCCAAATTCCTTGCTTAGTTTTGCCTCTCAATAAACCTGATCCCTTGTTACCTCCACATCGCACTGTGCTGAAAAAGCCCATGTGATGCTGGATGTATAGATGCTATGAGAAGTCACGCGTGCTGCAGGGACGTGCTTCAGAAAACCATACAAATCCCATCCCCACAACTGGGTCAAAAGCTGCGGGAACACTGTCAGCTGGGACTGCCTACTTCTGTCCTACAGGACAAAAGGATAATAGACTGTATTTCCTGGAGCTTGAAAAGCAGCTCCATAATATACAGAAAGCTAACTCCCATTGGTTATAAAAGGATACAAAAGTACAAATATTAACAAATTCAGGGCAGCTGTGACTAATTTCTGACAAAGCAGAAGCTAACACAGTCCCCTGCTGGAAAAATCCTGTAAAAACATGCTATTTCCATATTGCTCATCTATGTCTACAGCAATGTCACCGGCCTGTCACAGGGTGCTTGACAAGCAAGAGATGTCTAAAAAAAACCTGAGCAATACACCAGTTAAAAAAAGTAATAAAAATTGTTTGGGAAATCTCACCAGACCTACATACAACACCACATTGGACATTAGGAAAAGGTTCTTCATGCAGAGGGTGGTCTGGAACAGGCTCCCCAAGGAAGTGGTCACAGCACCAAGCCTCCCAGAGTTCAAGGAGTGTCTTGGTGATGCTCTTAGTCGTATGGTTTAGTTTTAGGTAGTCTTGTGAGGAGCAGGGAGTTAGACTCCATGATTCTTATGCATCCCTTCAACTTGAGATATTGATACCACATGTGGCACACCATGTTCCTGGGACGGGGGCGTAGCAGTACCTAAAGGTTTTCTCACTGTATGGGTCTCCATTGCCTTTTAGATGTCAGTCTAAGACCATCCTCATGATCACGTTTCTTGGGGTAAAAGCCCAAAGGAGAGCCTGCACGTGTTCGGCAGAGGAGGGAGACAAAATCAGTGAGAATGTCCAGGAACTAATGGGAGCATCAGAGGAAATTTTGGACCACTGAGGTCTGCACCATGTAAACACCACCACCCTTGTAACCATTCACAGTAACTCAGTGAACTGTAGCTCTCATTTCTAACAACATAAGAATTAAATTTGGGCCCGAACGGTGGCTTGAGGCCATTCATTCATTAATTTGAGCCACTCAAATTAATGAAAAACTCAGGAGGTGAATTTAGTTCCAAATCCAGGCTCAGCTCCCCTTCCAAGATGATACTTAGTTCACGTGAAGTAAAGAGTGAAGGTGAGATACAGCAGGCCTCCAGCCCTTCGCCAGATTACGAAGCATGCCTTGGAAAGCAAGTTAATCTCAGATCTCGTCTCAGCGTTTCTCCACAGTGCAAATTCCACATTTCTGAGATCCTTCCACTCCAGCACTGTGGGACTCACGGCACACATACAGATCCACACACATTTCACCTCCAGCTCCCCTGACTATCTTATTAGACTCCCATAACCAACGGTTGTTACATGCTCCCTCCTTTCCCATCCCTTGCCCTGTCACAGCAATCAAAGGTGCCCACTTGTGATTCGGGATTTCTCAGCCTCCTAGGTGGAGCAGCTCCAACAGGGTGTAAATTAGATGCCCCTCGGACAAGCAGCAGCAGATCAGAGAGGCGTAGCTCTTACTGGGAAATGCTGGTGGCTGCAGTCACCCACAGTGAAAAGCATCTATTTACACTGTTTCCTCAGAAATCCATCCCACTATGAGGCGAAACAACAATTTGTGCTGTGCCGGTAGCAGGTTACAAACTGTATCTTTTATCTGCTTCTTCTACCACCCCAGCCTGTAATATCACCAACTTTTCCAGCTCCAGGTTCAGCACTACCTGAAGGAAGCGTGGCCAACGTGGCCAACTTCTTTCCCCTCTCATTGCCAGTTTAAAAGACTTCTGTAGCTCTTTCCCAACACCACCCACGCCTCTGAACCTCCTCCTTCCACCCCTGAATGCTGAAGCCATTGATTGACAACGTAGTTTCCTCTGGTTGTCAAAGCACACCACACCTTTGCAAAACATTGCCAGTGCTTCTGGGGGAACAAGGAACAAGTATCTGGCAACAATTATAAAATAGAAACTAGCTGGTGGAGTATTAAGAGTAAAAATGCTTTTCAGAAGCAATAATGAAATAAACATGGGCTTCATCTGCTGGACACAACTTGTATTGTGATTTGGAGAAATTCTGTAGGTGATTGAAAATGATGATTAAGGAAAGTGCAATAAATTGGAAACCAGTCAGCTGACGAGATGAGGGAGAAGACGTTTTGTGTTCCCATCAGACTAACATCTCACATCTGCCACAGCGAGCATCTACCTTCCTTCCTCACTCCTGCCTCGTGTCACAAGTTTGCAGGCAGAGCTGCCAGTGTTATTTAAGGTAACGCTTAACGCTTTAACAGTTATTTAAGGTTTCAATGCATTATATATGGGACCTGGGGAGCTTTCCTGAACCTAGTGAACCCACACGCTCCTGAGCGTTAATACACGCACTGGGTTTACAAGCCCAGGTGCCGGCTGCAGGGCGGCCTCTGGGAGGAGAGGGTAAGAAGGTTGGTGCCTCAGGAAAAACATTTAGGTGTGCAGTAGTGAGAAAAAAATGTGAGAAACAACCCCATGAAGATCCAGGTCAAAGAAGGAGGATGAGATGCTCCAGGTGGTGGAGGAGCCTCCCCTGCAGCCCCATGGAGAAGATCTTAGGTTGTTCTCCTGCAGCCTGTGGAGGACCACCCCAGGGCAGACATCCCCACTACAGCGCTTGGAGGACCCCATGCAGAAGCAAGTGCTCTGAAGAAAGCTGCATCCCTTGGAGAGCCCACACTGGAGTAGGCTTGTGGCAGGAACTGCAGCCCACAAGGGACCCATGTTGTAGCAGGTTTATTCTGAAGGACAGCAGCCCATGGAAAAGACCCACACTGCAGGAGGAAGAAGAGTGAGGAGGAAGGAGCAGCAGTGAGGAATGGTTATGGACAAACTGCAACCCCCCAATTCCCCTGTGCCACTTCGAGCAGGGACCAGGAATGAAGGAGAGAAGTTTCAGATTAGATCTCAGGAAGAAATTTTTTACTATGAGGGTGGTGAGACACTGGAACAAGTTGCCCAGGGAAGTTGTGGATGCCCCATCCCTGGAAGTGTTCAAGGCCAGGCTGGATGGGGCTTTGAGCAACCTGCTCTAGTGGGAGGTGTCCCTGCCCACGGCAGGGGGGGCTGAACTAGATGATCTTTGAGGTCCCTTCCAACCCAAACCATTCTAAGTTGAGCCTGGAGAAGGAGGTGGGGGAAAGGCGTTTTAGTTTTTGTCTTTGGTCCCCACCCTGCAACTCTATTTTTAATTGGCAATAAATTTATTTTTCCCCCAAGTCAAGATGGTTTTGGCTGTGATAGCAATTGATAAACCATCTCCCTGTCTTTATCTCAACCCACAAGCTTTTTCATCTTACTCTCTCCCCTTGTGTTGAGGAGGAGTAAGACTGGCTGAGTGGGCATCAAGCAGTCAGCCAAGGTCAACCCACCAGAAGAAAACACATCTAAGAAAGAAAATCCCCCAAAAACTTCCGAATGTGAAAAGTGAGGATTTCAAATTGTGGGGAAAACATGTCTTTTCAATGATAAACCAAGAGAAAATTTGGAAAGTATGAGATTCCTTCTGACTCAAGTCAGAACCATCCTCTGTTCTTTTTAAGCATACCTCGTACGCCAAAAACCCTGCATTATTTCATACATCTAAGCTCAGTTAATAAACCCACCAAATCCCTTGTCCAAAACTGAAGCCATCTTTTCAAACAAATTAGTCCCTACACTTTCCATTACCCATCCTACCACCCTGCATAAAGCAACATTAACGATTTTCCTACCATAAAAATCCACCCCTCCAATTTCATGTGGCAACAGCCAAGTAAAGACTGTAATACACACTTATCACAGATTTCAAGTCTATTCAGATAAATCATGCATGTAGGCAAGTATTTATTTACTCAGTTATGCAGGGATTTGATTTTCTAATGTTTCTTGCTTCCTTCCCGTTCATTATCTTCTGCCTTTGATCTCCTGCATCTCTTACATTACCCTCACAGGTCAGGCTGCCAAAGCGAAAATTCCTCAGTGCAAGAGGGTTGGGATCCTCCTTCTCACCCCTCTAAACAAACCCTTGCTTTGTTTTGTTTTCCAGGCATCAATTTGCTGTTATAAAAGACTACGAAAAGGCCCTTTGAATACAGTATACCAACTATTAAATAGAAGATGTTATTTATATGACAGGCAAAAAAAAAAAAAAAAAGGGAATTTTCCTTTTTAAGCTCATAGCCCATGTATTAGATGAAATGTAACACTTCATAGGCTAGGGGAAAAAAAATCATGGTTTAATTACAACAATGTAGCATAAACAGTTTAGTAGTCGATACCAGAATATTACTGTGACACCTAAACTAAAGTTGAGTTCTCCACAGACACCGTAAACAAACACTCTAAATTCCCTAAATGATTGGCATTAAGAAGGTTTATACAAAGGCGGTCAATTGTTTAATCTTTAAGATGTCATGACATGGTGAGACAAACACACATACATCAGTAAGTACAGAGAAATGTTATGCTACATTTTGGACAGTTCAGAACTGAAAGTGCTTCACATCTATAGGATAAGAAATGGCTTCATCTCCTCATCCCTAAATGATGAGAGCAAAGAAATAACCCTTTAATAGGTTAAATAAACAGTGCCCCATTTATCCATGCTTATATAAAGTTTCCAACAATTCAGAAAGTCCACGGTGAAATTTACAATCTATATACAGTATAACAAATTGTCAAAGAAAAAAAGTTCAGATATTCCTTGGTTCCCAAAAGCCTGAAGCTCACGCTCTGCACTAGAGACAAGAGTTACCTATTTTTTTAAGAAAAAAGAATCATCGTCCCAATCCACCTTGAATAAAATCAGTCCCTAAGTCCCGGTCGTATTTAACAACTGCTTAATCCCAGTGTTTAAGGCATGTTCATTAGATGTCAGTCTAGGGGTACTGTCAGAAATGATAATAATCACAGGTACTAAGAGTCAGCAAATTTACAAAGCAACGCCACTCTTTACAATATCATGTAAAACAAGTTGTTATAACGGAAGTTGTTCCTGAGTTAAAATTTGCTAAATACTGCTAAGATTCACGTTTTCCTTTCCTACTTCTTCCTCTGGAATGTCCTTTCCCATACGCTCAATTGGAAATTAAAATTCACTCCGAAAATAGCCTGAATGTCAGAAAGTTAAAATGTTAGCATTCCCAAATCTAAATTTAGCCACGATGCTATGAATTTGCAGGGTTTAGTATCACTTAGGCTTTTAGCAAGAGTATTTTCTAAATACTACGATAATTATAAATGTCAGTCTACATTTTTGTGCAACTGCAAACAACAAAAAGATTTTGGTATCAAAAATTATCATAAATTTAAAGTTCTGTGAATATATAATTGATATTGTAGACTTTTTTTAGTTTTCCTATCCAGTCTGCTCCTTTTAAAACTAAAAGGAAGACATTTATAATTGTAGGAACGCAAATTAAAATACCTACAAATATATTCAGCTTTTTAAATCAGACAACTAATCGTCTATTGAGAATCTTCAGTATCCATTCGCACAGAATTGTTCCTTAAGTATGTAATCATTGACATTCTTTCCTATTTAAAAAAGCTGTTCTTGGCTGAAAAAAGTGGATAGCTTTAAAAATAGACATTTCATTAGATTCAAAGTGTGCATGACAATTCCTACCACCCTAATTGTCCTGGCTCCAACTCATTAAAGTTCATATAAACATTTGTTCAAGTCTGAGCATTAAACTTAACAGGAGTTAAAGGGCACTAGCATCAGGATGACAAAAGGTGCGACTCGGGTCTGTGCTATACCTGCACTTCTGACTGTCAACTGAAGAAAAACCCCTCAGAAAATTGCACTGTCTGGAGTTTGATCCAAATTTTGCTGAAATCAGTGAAACACTCACAAGGAGCTTTCATGGGACTAGTATTTTAAGTGCTCCAACTGAAGCTCACCATTTGCAGGGATGTAGCATTTCCTATTTTAAATACAAGAAAGGATTGCAGTAATTGCACCTATCAGACTAGGGAATAAATGTTCATTTATCTATTTTCAAATTTGTCAGCAGTGCAAATTATGAATTACAATATGATTTAAAAAAAAATAATCTTATTTCCAGATCTGTTTCCATTTAAATCCTAGTAGGACAGAAACCAACAACATGCTACAAAAACAGGATGGGAAAGGAAGGACTCTGCTGCCTCAGCCTGGGAATTCCAAACAGAGAGTCTGACATAGTGGTATAAAAAACAAAGCTCTGAATGAAGTTTGGCCTAGCCCACGTGTCTTATGCACATTGGTTAGCTCAAATTTAATTGTTGTGACCATAAAATATAAATAGCAACAATTTATTCACAAAATTCTGGATTAGATTGATTTTTTTTTTTTGCTTTACCAAACCGTATGATCTATTAAATTATCAGCCAGCTGTATGTTTAAGCACGACAATAGAAAATGTAGTACATAAACACCTAAAAATCACAGTCATAAAAAGCAGGCAAAGTACATCAGTCTTCTGGTGGCCATAGCACAACAGATTAGTCTGCCAAACAAGTGTACGTGAACAGAAATCATGGGCATTCCTTTTGTTAAAAATGATTTCTACTGTCAAGAAACAAATTCCTGTATTTTAATACTGTTCTCAAAGAATTGTAAACTGTTTAAAAATGTATGCACAGACATAAATAACAGTAAAGGATTTAAATACAGTGGTCAATGGGAGAAACAGGTTTTTTTAAATTTGCATGTGTGATGAGCAGGTAATTTGGAACAAATCCATAATTATCCACAAAGAACTCTGACCTTTCTTAGGTAAGACAGTACTGCCCTCATTTCTAACACTTGTGACCATTATAATAATAAGAGAGAAAAAAAATAACATATCAGCCCTGATACATCAATCACATATGCATTCAAAATTACAGATATTTACAAGAAAAATATATATTTAATTAAAAAGCCACTGAAAAACATGGACTTTTAGTCAGGTGCTGCACTTTCTGCAAAATGAGGTAATTTAGATGCAAACAAATTAGGTTTAGTAGAGTTCAGGATCCACGGTCTCCACACTTAAAAGTACAGATTGCTTCAGTAAATGGCTTGACTGTTTCTACATGTTCAGAGCAAGAAATCACTAGATCCAGTTAAATCCTGTTTTGTAGTGCTCTTGATGCAACACTGACTAATGTCAGAAGGCTTCCCAGCTCAGTTTTACAACTGGTCTTTCAATAGAAAGAAAAAGGGAAAAAAAAAAAAAGAAAAAAATTAGTTATAAGTTGGTTTCATCCCAAGACGGATCATTCATGTTCTTTAGAACTTTTCTAACAAGCTTCTCCAAGTCCTTGCGAGCTCTTTGTTCTTCTTCTAGTGATTTCTTCATCTTTTTGTTATCCTGTTTAATAGAGAGAGAAATATTACTGGTTTGGTTTTTTGTTGGGTTTATTTTTTTTGGTTCATTTGGGGTTTTGGCTCATTTTCTTTTTCTTAACAGATCTTTTCTGATCACACATACATTGTCAATCACAAATTCTGAAGGCTCTTCTCAGTAAGACTGCTATTAGGTGTTCAAAAGCAAAGACTTCTATTAAAATTTCATGAGTTACACACAGTAGCTTCACACAATGCAACAAAAATCACCAAATGGAAACGGAGCTATTTCCTATTTATACTTATAAAGCAAGTGCCAGCAACAGATGGCCAATAATCTTGAATTCTTCTGCTCAAATCTGATCAATGAACAGTAGAATATATTTACTGTTAATGGAGAAGGGAAATGGAGCAATAAGTAGAACAAATACCCCTCTAAGAGCCTCCTGTGATTACAACTAGTTCAACAATCAGAAAAGCTTCTTAAAACTTAATGCAAATTAACTTGCTTCATTAAGAAAGTAAATAGTTGAAAGGAGTATCTTGAAAACCATTATGTTCTCTGGAAAATGTTTTGTGACTAAATTTTAAACCAGACAGCTGACTACCAACAGTCTAAGAGAAGTCTGAATTTCCAGGAGCACCACCACTCCTCATGTATATTAATGAGTCAGTTCTCAATATTTAGCACCATCGGGTACTACTGAAATACCACGGACAAACAGGACTGTAAGGATGTCACTGACCAAACTGCAGTAATGCTTCTGTTGTTCAATCATGTACAGGGCCAAGCTGACGCTGGCAACAGCGGGGAAGCAACCAGAAGATAAGACAGCATTATCTTAAGGCCCCAAGACAACAGGTTTATGGGTGTTTAACAAAACACAGGTCTGCAATCCAGAGGTCCCACTGGACTCCCATCGTCTGTCATTTATAGACACGTTTAGAAACAGGATTGGATCAACAGCTGCCTTCTCCTCAACCCTATTCCCTCCTGAAGTCTGTTGAGAAACTCAAATTTCGTTCTCTTCTTGTAGGCACAGAGTTAATTCCGTTTCCTTTTCATTTATTCACTGCCAATTCAGGACTCTACTATTCAAGTGTAGTGCCTGGGGAGAAACAGCGATGAATAACCTGTGGAAGCTGCTATGGGAGGGATCCCACTTTGCGTGGTAACTCTCACCAACAGGCAACCTGTGTCTGCACCAGCCAGTGCACTACTGTACTCCCAGAGAGCCTCCACCCTTGGAAGCAAGCCCTTGGTCACTTGGGACCATCCCAGCTCAGAGATTATTTGTGTCACTTCTCCAGTTGGCCACATCACAGCAGCAGACCACTAAACGCTTCTAAGCTGAGATTCCTGATATACAAGACAATGAACCTGGGTTTTAACAGGTCTTGGCCTTGGAAGATGTGAGATTCTGCAAAGACTATCTATTTGGAAAGGCATAAGAAAAGAGAGCTGCTGCTAGAAGTTCAGAAGAAGGTGACTTTTTGTTTAGGGTCACACAGGGATCTGTAGGGCCTCAGTGAGGCCTTTGTCCTTTGTGCAAAAGCAGCCAGGCCACAGAAATACTAGTGGGCTATGATGGCTGCCTATATTAAGTGAACTGTATTTTTAAAAAGACTGTCAAATTCACATCAAACCTGGAATACACACGCATTACGTGTTGAAAACGGCAAAAATTAAGTAATTAAGATGCCAACTGTCCTATTTCAAGGAACATGCACCACTTCCTTAGAAATACTGGCATGCTTACAGGCAAATAGAGAATTTATGTTTATAGCCCCAAATCTATAGTAATTTGAATACAAATCTATTGAGTTTATGTTTATAGCCCAAAATCTATAGTAATTTGAATACAAATCTATTTTACTTTAACAGAGGAGATTCTATATGACTTCCCGAGTCACAGATCTGTTAAGGTCAGGTAGCAAATTCAAATAGTGAAACATGAGGATAATTCAATGCTTTTTTGCCTACACATTAAGCAATGAGTACATGCACCAACATTAACATGCTGTGCCCTGACGAGAAGAAAAAAAGAAAAAAGATATTTTTAAACGATTCATTTTTGGATACTTAAAACAAGCTTAAAACATCAGCTGCAACTTCCATACCAGCAACTGAGGTGAGATATTGCACAATTTCCCCATGTCACACAGCACCACCCTAAGCCAAACTGAAGTCATCATTAAAAAAAAGGCGACACAATAAGACATCTCATCTCCCAAGGTTTTAAGAGATGTTTTTAGCACCAATTCTTAAGAGGTGTTTCAGTTACTGAAAGACTGTTAATAAAGGCCTAAAGAGGGCCAGATAGTTCTACTATTAAAATTATCCATTCCAAGAGCAAATACTATTTCATAGTCTCTGTAAGCTTATTTTGCTGGTGATACAGCAGAAATGAATTTGCTTAATGCTTTAAACATTTCACAAGTTGTATTCCAAACACATTCAATCCAGTAACATCCAAAAATAAATTAAACCACTTAGAAAGTCACCTCAGAGACAAGATACTTAACACTTTTCTCAAAGCTGGTGCTTCAAGGACAGACGACAAGCAGAAGAGAGGGTGCTGTTTTGTCAAATTGGTACATTTTAGAAGTGCTTTTACTTTTAACAGTGAATCTCGGCCAAGGACAGATGACAAGCAGAAGAGAGGGTGCTTTTTTGTCAAATCGGTCCATTTTAAAAGTGCTTTTACTTTTAACAGTGAATCTCGGGCTTTTAAATCTAGTCCAAAATTCCAAGTTCATTCCTGTCAAAGTGCATCAAGCACTTACAAGCCATATTGACTTTTTATAATAAGCCTTCCATCTTTCCATTCTCCGTGTTGCTATAAACGTAGCAAGTTACCAACCTGTCTTAACTCCTGTACTTCATCCTTTAATGCATATACTGTGTCAACAAGGCTTCTGAAATGAAAAAAGATGATCAGTTACAACAGTTTTCAGAAATACATGTCTAAATCTATTGTTAGACAAAACCGTTAAATGAAATGCATTTAAAAAAAACATGCAAACCCCACAGCTAATAGCTAATTTCAAACTTGTGTTAAAAAAATTTGTCTGTTATCCTGATGTATATTCAGTAAAGCAAGGACCTATTACCAGCTTCTGTGATAGGATACACCTCTCAAGCACATACAGACCTACACTAGTTTCTATATTGCAGCTTTTTGTAACAGAATTGTATTTCATTTCCAACATACACCTATGATGCCACACACTAACTACAAAGATGACACCAGCTTAATATTGAAAACCTAGAGCCCTTGGAGAAGCGATTTACAAATAAAACATATCACTTGGCACGGAAAGAGTAAACTGCATAGCATAGACAAAGAAATCAGAGTACAAGCATTTAAATGAAGGCCAACTGCACTTAAAGGACTGACAGCATACTCCAAAAAGCTCTGTAACCTACCACATATACACCATGCACACATTAATATAATGGGAGACAGGAGGAGGAAGAAGAGTGCAAAGTTTACTGTTTTAATCCATCATTAAGTGTTCTCTTACTTCTCTTCTATAACAGTCTGACCATTACTTTTAGTTTCTTCTACAATAATTTTTTCTTCTTCTGGAAGCAGGACTTGAGGAGCTGATTCTTTACGGGAACCTATTGTAAAAACAAATTAAAAAATGAGCAACTCACAAATATTGCTGGGGAATTTTAAAGATTATTTCATTCACTGCGTGATACACCTGCATGACCAAGGTGTATCACTTTCTATTTCCCCCTTCCCTCCACACACAAGTTACTGAGGAATTTTTTTTCACATTTGAAACCACAGCCTTACAACAAAAAGATTGCCTGACTTTCCTATCCTGCTGCTGACATTACTCCTGCATCATCGATGGCGACGTTACACTGTTCAACGAACGGTGCACCATTCAATGATCAGTAAAAACTATACAAATTCACCATAGCCGACCCAGAAAAAAATAGACATGTTTAAGTAACAGGACTTTAAGCCTCAAGGACAGATTCTGATCTCACACTGATACAAATCCAAGAAACAATTCCACTCTAAACCTATTATTCTAGCCGAATAGTGGTATCAAGTGATTCAGCGATGGAACAAAAAAAAAAAAGTTAAAACTCCTTTTCCCTGGAACACAATAAATGACACAATTATGTGTGCACACACATATACATACATATACACTTACAGATAGTTTTTTAGACTACTTAGTCCTATAATAAATTCTTACCAAATGAAATATATACTCTGAATATCATTTTTGTAAAAGCACTTAATGGCTTGGCAATAAAAATTCAAAACATTCCAACATCTTCAAAACATTTTCCACAATAATTGCAGTTTATAACATCAAGATAGTACACATAGATCTTAAAAAATACCTCTGAACAGAAAAATCTACAGCTTAGAGATGTGCATCCATTCATACATGAAGTATGTATTCTAGAAATGTTATTTAATTAGGCTGCAACAAATTACAAGCATTTTTTTAAAGAAGGTCTGTAAATAAATAGCTGTCTAAGCATTTGTTCAGAATTCAAACACAGCAGATAAGGCATTAAAGATCTTACATGTTTTAACCAAGATATCAATTTTAACAAACACGATACACTTGCAATCAACTTTCATTAACCAGGAATGTCTTAATTCTAGTACGGTTTGAACTGACAACTAGGGTGCCTGCCTGTCAGCTGCCTTGTGATAACAGTGCTTTTCTTTTATGGTTCATGATAAAATACATCATCTAAACACACAAAAAAAGAAAGAAGTCAAGCTCATAAAAGAAAAATACTAACTTCCCTAACAGCTGCAGACTTGAGTTCTGAACAACGAGCTTGTAGGGATCATAGTTTAGCAGCAGTATGTATAAAGCTATTTAAACTATTTTAGCAAACAATGACAAATGTCCCTTAATGAAGAAACCAGTTTCCTTGAACTGACACTGAAGATCTAATGTATCAGTACGTGATGGTCAAAATTTTATGGCATAAAGATAACTGCAGATTTGAGAACAGAATCTTGTCCTTGAAAGCTGTAAGTTGTTCATCTTACAGAGTGAAGAAATCTTTTAGGGGTTAATATCCATCCACGCCCACTTATTTTCCAGGGAAGAAACAACCTACAAAACAAGCACATCCAAACTCTATACGGAGCTCAAGGACATTTCCCCATTTGTGCTGTCAATCTCTAATTATAAAACATCACCTTATGTTTATTCCAGTTAATTGGTTGCTGCTCTGCTTTATTAGCCCATGAGGTAACACAGAACACCGAGCTAAATGTTATTTTAGGAATTAGTTGGCAGCAGCTGCTACCAGGTCACTACATTTTGGATCTCTGGACCCATGTGGAGCAGCTCAGCCCAACACATGCCGAGGGAGACACCAACCAAAGGGAGAGGACAGCTACATGTCTCTCGCCCATGACTCCCTTCAACCAAACGCAGCAGCGCATCGAATTTATCTCTGAATAGAGCTGCATCCAATTGTCTTTGCCTGGTCAGAGTAACATGGGTCCTTGCAAAGCAGAAACAGCTTTTAGAAAAAAAAGAATGTCCCAGCTGTACAGTAATATACACACATGCATGTACAACAGATGTCTGCACCAGCATATCTTGATGTATGTACAGCCATAGCACTTCATACTACTGAGACACAGAATGCAATTTCATTAAAAACAAAATGTTCACCAACATTATACACACAAGGAGACCACACAGTACACATACACACTTACATGATGTAAAACTGTTGCTGTGAACACTGACCTTCCTGTGCCACAAAACATTAACTACTGTGGAATTCAGGACATCACACGTTTCACCCTTTGCCTTCATTGCGAAGCAACTTTTAGTTTTTATCTTGGAACCCTCACTGCTCTTACGGTTTGTACCATGCAAAACCCCCCTTCTTTATCTTGGTTTGCTATTTGTGAGTTTTGGGTTTGGTTTGTTTGTTTGTTTGTTGTGGATTTTTTTATTAAGCCCCACAAGCACTTGTTAAGAAACATTCAGTCCATCTATCCTGCAACAAAGGGCCCTGTCATCAGATGAGTACGTGCACAGAAACATCAGACCTGATGTGTCAAGTTCTAAAGGCAAAAGGAAGCTCCTTCACTGTCCTGCTTTTCTGCATCATTTATGCCAGAAGCTTTTCCTGCTCAGCTTTTGGTGGTTTGGTTTTTCGGGTTTTTTTTTTTACAAGCATTCTTTTGGCAATTATATATCTAGAATGAACTTCAAGCAGAGTCACCTCATTCCTGGCACTTGGCAATATTCTCTAAGGAGCATGTTGTGCCTCCACCAGATTCTCTATGGCTATGCTCTATGTAACCATTTCTCTCCAGAAGAGAGAGACACCTGCACACCTTTAGGACGTGAAGAGAGGGTTGTGTTATAGCACAGTGGATATTTCATACAGAGTTGTACTAAAAGCATGGTCCAAGAAGTTGCTGCAAGCTAGATAATCCTAAGCACCTCTGAGATGTATTCCACACTTTCATGAAGTAGTGCAGAAGCAGCAAAAGTTACTTCAGTTTGGCATATCTACCGTCCTTCCATCCTAAATGTGCAAGTTTCATGCTGAATTTTATTAACTACTCAGTCTCGTTCCAAGTCAAACAGGACAAGAGACAATGTTTAAATTGACCCTCAATAACTCTGGCCCCAAATCACCTTGAGACAATACAACAAGAAGTACTAGTTTAAAAAAAAAAAAACAAAAAAACACAACCCCCCCCCCAAAAAACCCCATCCAAGGCTTTACAAAATAGGGTTTTTGTTTTTTTCTTTTCCTTTTTTTTGTGGGGGGAGGGCGGGGGTATTGGAGGAAGTAAGTTGGATGGAAGAAGAAAGCATGTTTGACAAACCCATACAATTACTTTAAGATTAGCAAACAAAGGTTAAGGCTGAGTAAATTGCCATAACTTTTCAATGGGGAACTCCTAAATCCAGGGTCTTGGAAGAATGACCCCACTGTTGAGAAGTTTGTTGCATTTTTAAGGCAAAACAAATTGGATACTATGATCAAGATTCAACCGAGTTTCCGTCAATTAAATTCCATCAAGACAATAAAGGTATCTATTAAAATATTAGTATCTCCCAGCCCTAGAGTGGAAAACAGAGAATTACAATGCTTTTTGCCAATACCATACCCTAAGTTATAGGTTTAGCAAATTTACCTTCCAGAGTAAAATAATAATAACATAGACCATCCAGCATTCAGACCAGGGATAGAGATCTCAGTAATACCCACTAATGAAATGTGGTCCAACAGCCGAGATACAAGAACAGGCCTGTGGGTAACAGCTTTTAGTTTTTCAGTGTCTGATCCCCTTTCCAGCCTAATCAATCAGCCACACCAGCAAGCAGCTGTAAGCTTTTCTGGGGAAAAAAAAAAAAAAGAAAACTGGAATCTGTTTGGATATTCACATGGCTGAAAGATGTCATGACAGAAGTTCACTTTATGTCTGTCTGAAACCAGCAAAACATCACTCCCAGCACTGGAGCATAGAACAGGAAGAAACTAGAGTGACAGACAATGCTGGAGAGGTTCTCAGTGATGCCTGTTTGCAAGCATAACTGCACAACCCCAGCCTTTTACTCACTCTCCTCCAAAGGGAGCGTGACACCTTAAAAAAATGGTTGATATGGTACCATGCTGCTTCCTGACAGAAGCCAGGCTTCAGAGAAGGAGCTGTACTGGTAATTAGTCTGGTCCTTCGTTCTGAATCTTTAAGCAGACACATATGAAAAGAGTCCAGAAGTTTTGCACAGATCTGAAGACAGCAGGCAGGAGGGAAGGAAGAGAAGGTGGTGCATGAAATTCAGACACCTTTTCACTTTAGCCAGATATTAAGTCTCCACCTGTGTTCAAAGGCCTTGTCTGTCCAGGAACCACTTCAGCCATCAATAAAAGAGAGGTGGACATTCACATCACCTACTTAAAACAGCTAACCTTAGGGCCTCAGCTATAAAAAGCCAGCTCCCCCAGTCAATCAAGCACAGGGTTCCTTCCTCCAGCTGGAGAAGGCCCAATCTAGGTACTTCCACAGTGACACTCTACAAAGAGTTTGCCATCTTCAAGAGACTACGAGGGTCCTAATTTAAGCTATGGAAGTTAGACCCGTGGTGATGGTGGTTTATTTTAAAAAATGCATGGCATAATTTGAGGCCATCACTAATGATTCTGTTGCACAGCTTTTAAGTATTACTATGTTCTTTAGTTTTTCCTACCTTTATTATGATTAGGCGAGGTAAAGAGGGGAATAAAGCACAATAAAGGTCAAATTTTAGAAACAGTACTTGTGAATATACAATTTTCTTTTTCCCCAATTTTACTAGGCTCTCTTCATAAGCTAAGAAGCTCTTCAAAATTGTTTTGAGTTTCAAAGACTGATTTGCCACTGAAAACCAAATATCTGCACACAGAACTGTTTAGATCATTAGCCATCAGTATGTATGGATGGGTAAATTTCCTGGAGAAGCAAATATTAGACAAAAAAAAGAATTACTTGTCATTTAAAACATTCAGTATTTCACTGCATTAGTTGTATTTAAAATGCTAAAGTGGATAAATAGACCTGCCAAATTTATCTTCTTTCTCAATGAATTTTTGATGAAGTCCTAATATGAAGAATCCTAAAAAAGGTACTCCCAGATTCCATGTGTGTTGAGATTAAAGCATTGGAACAAAATAATCCTTCATGATACAGATATGCCAAAGTCAAAAGGGAGCCCTTTAATATCTTCTACAGATAACAACAAATCAGAATCCAAACATCAGGCCAAGCTTCAGTTCACTGTATAAAAAAACACCAGTTTTTTGCAAATTCTTGGGAGTAACAAAAAAGGTTTTGGCATGAAGTATTTTGGCTTTTTTTTTTTTTTTTTAACTTATAGTGATACACAAATAGGAAAAAACCCCATGTGACTCAGACAACAGATCTATGCAGTATACACTAAAATGTTTTGATGAGTTAAAATGAAAATAATTAGAGTGGACTGGAACACATACAATTCCATATGTATTAGTTATATAAGAACAGAATGAAGAGTTTGAGACAGATACACCATCTGAAGTGGGATCTCTCTAAGATAACATTTGAAAAGAGTTATTCCAGTAAACTTCCTGTATTTCACTAACCAATATAAAACCATCCAACCAGAGGGCTGTAGGTCTAAAACGAGAGTTGCTACAGTCATAGCAAAAAAATGTGATGACCTTTTAATAGAAGTAGGCGATTACTTTGTTTGTTCTGATGCAAACATTTGAGTATGAATATTAGGTTATCATTTTATTTAAATTCATTCAAATACGAGCATCTTTTAAGTAGAAACACTTAAGATACTCTTGGTTTAAGAAAAAAAATGTTGTAATATTAGATCTAGAAAATATGTAAGGTTATA